TCAATCAATCTATCAATCTATCGATCGATCTATCTGTAGTGATTTATTGGAATCAACATGCAACAAGTACATGTTCTGTAGGAAGTTGAGGAAATACCTTCTGGAGCCGCTGTCAGGCAGCAGAGTCGCGTTAAGAAGCTTTACACTCAGAGACAGCAGAAAACGCCCTTGTGGCAAAACGGCGTGAATCAATTGGCTTTTTGTCTATCTCCTTGTTACAAGCTGTCTTCTTCAGAAGACTGTGGCAATTGAGTAGAGCCTCTTGTGGGTGAGGGCAGCCACTATTCCAATTTGTCTGAAATAAAGTCTAATTTGTTGTTGTTGTTGTTGTTGTTGTTCATTTCGAGGCCATTCGGGGTTTGTTTATCGTTAAGACGCCTTATTTTCGCATGCTTTTAATCACGGCAACAGCTACTGCGTCCACGAGGTCACAAGTCGCCTCTTGCCAGCACATTTGCAACTCGAATTCCACAACGGCTGGTGACGAGGCGATAAGGCGGAATCAACACTTCTCCTCGGTTCATCTTGAGCCGCCTTTTTGGCTTTCCCTGCACAAACCATTCGAAATTGCACTTCTCAACACCCATAGAGCACCCACATCTCATCTTTGAACTATTAATGTTGTTTGTCTGTCTGGTTGTCTCTCTGCCTGCCTATTGTGTCCTTGAATTGACCTGCTTTTCGCGTAAAACATACAGACACACATACACAAACGCATATATGCTCTGGTAATTTTACCAAAATGCACACTTGAGCTGTACCTCAATGCAATTGTGCAATTATTAAAAGTGACAGAGAAATCACATGAGGAAAAAGAATATTCGAATGTCGACGTAGACAGCCAATATGATGAGTATGTGCGCACCTAAGAAGTGTATTAGCTGAATTATTTGGGAGAAAATCCGGAGTAAAATGGAAAAAAAAGAAAAGATAAACGGTTCATATCTGACCTACTTCTTGTTTTCTTGTCTGTTTTCTAATTATTATACGTACACTTTTGGTTATAGCCCCAAATAAGGATACAGTCTAGTCGCATACCCTCCAGTTAAAATATTAATTCTACTCATTTTCACTGTCCGCTGGGGTGGTGGTAGGACATCGTCGCTCATTCAACGTCATGCGCTAGAACGAAGATGTCTTCTTAAAGTGTTGACGGTCAAGTAATAGTAACGGTTACAGAAATAATCTCGGTGATGCAGCCTCTATTACTACTACTACTACTACTATTACCACTACTGATAATGGGTGTAGCAGTAGAAGTGCTGGTAGCGGCAATAACAATAGCGGTACTAACAATACTAGTGTTGGCATTGATGGCAGCAGTTGTATTAGTTCCAGCAGTAGTGAGTTTTCAATCAAAGCCAATGTCATTAATAACATCAATATCACTCCCATTAGTATGTATACTATTATTAATAGCAACAAAAGTGGAAGTAGGGGTCTCCAGTACCGCTGGCTCTCAGTCGAAGCCCGAAGCATACGAAAAGTAGCAGATGGCAACAGCAAAAACAGCAACACTACTGTACTACTACTACTACTGATGCTGCTGCTGCTGCTGCTGCTTATGATTGTACTAATACTAGTAACTACAATAACTATACGGTGACAACATTCCAAAGTCGCCAGACTGGAACTAGGTCACCGAGCCGATTACTGATGCTATTTCAGTAGCGCAACAAATAAGAGTTTACTGCCGGCATAAGTTAAGAGAGGTACATAATATATTTCTAGTTATAAAGCGGAGTTGCAGCTGCTGTGAGTTACTGCCGCACAGCGGCCTACGGGCATCGCGATGCATCGGATACACAAAAATCACTCATCCATGACCGATCCACGCGGCTGCATCCACTTTCTTTTGCATAGCCGATTGATAAATGGGCCTAGCTGCGTGCGAAAAAGGGACACAAAAAACGGAAAAACGCTAATTAGGCTGAAATAAGCCAGTAGATAAAAGTCAATTTACGCCAAAGATGTTGCCTACGATTAGATCATTTTATAAATAAAGTATTTGCGAGACAAACACGAGCAGAGAGGGTTGGGAAGCCGAAATCTGGAGCTCGCAATAAGAGCTCCTGGTAAAGATTCCATTCACTTGCCCTTTCTTCAGCTGCACTGTACACGTTAACTCTTTCGAGTTGATGCCTACTCCTCCTACGAAATGCAGGGTTGCAGCGGCGCCGTTGATGCTTGAACGGTTTCTGCATCGCGTCGACGCCAGAAGCATCTTGTCGACTTCATAAACAGGCAATGGAAGCACCGGATTTCTACCTTCCGTGTCGCAGCAACTCATACAGTTTCCATGTTGTATGTCCGCGAATTCTAATGGCCATATAATTCTCCGAAGCTAATTGACATGGCAACCAGTTCAAATAAATACGAGAAAGGTGTAATGGATGTAGACATGTGACCACAGATTAGCAGGACTTGTATGCTGCAATAAGCAAATAGTTATTGTTCTGTCTCGACGTCTGAGTTATTCAGAATCATTTGGCAATCCTTGACTCCGCTGAAATGGTCTATGAAGACCAAGTTCTTATTTAACAATTTCTGATATTCTCGAAAACTACTCATACCGAAAATAAGTAGTATCATCGATTGCGATGGCAGGCGAATGCCTATTTGATCGGCAGCTACCGATTAGGCTCGTGAGCTACGTTGGCAGTCACATTTGTCTTGTGACCAACTGGCACTGGGGGCTGTGCCACACTGTTCACGACTCGGGTTCGAGTCCCTTCGGGGCTGCTGATGAGAGCCCAATTCAGGCAAAGTCGAAAGAGCATTCGAATCGAATCGAGTCGAGTCGAGTCGAGTCGAGTCGAGTCGAGTCGAGTTGAGCCGGGAGAGGTAAAGTAGTCTTCACCCCAACATCGACGAGCATAGCCAGAATTGCGAAACCGCCTCCGGCCCATTTGCCGTGGAACGGTCGAGGAGGAGGTCAGTGAAGATGCCACTCATCGGGTCGCGAGAACCGATTGTCCGGAAGTGGCTTTGAGTGTGTCCGAAGAGGGGAGCCCGCAGAGACGAGTTGAAGACCGGCATTTGTTCGCCTCCACCCTCCAGGTTCGCAAAAAGCCATTCGAATGCTTGCCAACGAGCTCTGCAAGACCCACAACTCTCCTTTTTTCTTTCAGCACTTGACGAAACCCGGAAACGGCAACCAAGAACCAACGCAACGTCGGACCAACGACCTGCGGAATGCGCACCCATCCTCTAAACACACACACACACACACACAACCACATGTGCAAATGGGACTTAAGGTTGATGCGATTGTGTGCATGTAAATGTGTTCGTGTGTGTGTGTGTGTGTATTTATGTATGCATGTGTCTAGAGGGTGTTGGGCTTTCAAAGGGCCACAGTTCGAGGGAGGCACTTTATGCGAAGTGAATGTAAAGACTTTCTGGTTGCGAGGAGTCTGACTGGAGGGTGGAAACGCCGCCAAGCAACTGCGGATCCGAACATGGTTGGGATTCGGGCCTTCCCGACTAGAACAGCCCATTGCATTCTTCGAAGAAAAGTTGTCTTTTCAGCAATCTCTTGTCTCATAATTGTTGAGCTTAAGTCCATTTCGAGTGAAAGTGTTGGGTGAAGCTCGATTCCACCAGAAAACGACCAGCTGTCGATTGGCTTTACTGGAATCGTCATGGCGACGAGGTAGGGGGGGGGGAAAGGTGTTTAGCTTTCTTGCTTCATGTGACGAATATCAACGGAGCAGGGTA